CTTTTAGGAAGACGCAGACCTACTCTGAACTAGTTGTAACTAAGACCCACAACGAAGTTTGTATACGGCTGGAATCCCAACAACGAGCTCACGTCAACTCCACCAACATCAAACGCTTGCTCAACTTCGGGGGCAATGGAGTAAGGGAGACTGTCCGGTTACACTCCTACTACTGATAGGGCCACATCTCTTTTTGTCAAAGCCTCACAGTGAGATTCATGACAAGAAATCACCAGTAAGGTAGATGCACTCGCTGAAGTTATCACAACTATGGTAATTCGTATCATTATTATTACCGTAATTATTATAATTTGCAAATATCGATGAATTTTCTGTAGTCAGTTGTAGCCCTTCTACACGTTCCCTTGTTGCCGTGTTAAAATGGAAGATATCCATGTTTCAAGCAACAAAGGCAGGGACCGTACCTGATCTCCAGGTGTTCAGGTGGGCCCTATATTTGCGATAGCTCATGGGCAGTACTCAATACTCGCAGCTCCGATCAATACCCCTGTTTCGCTAGGATGCGCCACGTGTCCGAATTTCCACTCAGAATCACAATGGCGTTTATTTGGGTACAGAAACTATTCAGGACCTGTTGGAGCCAGGCGATAACTATGCTTCGGTCCTCTTAGACGATGATACTTAAAAAGCGGCTTTGTGGATGAATATTCGGCTGGCGTGGATGGTTTGTGGTCAAAAATTCACTACTCAGACCGGTCTTGTTATATCGAGCCACCTGTTGGGGTTTGCTTGAGAAGCTTCATGGCTGATGGAACGGCAGGCCACGGGGCCTTTTGATATATGCAGCTACGGATAACTTACCGTGTTTTTTGAGTTTCATCAATTTTCAGAAGTCTGACAATTTCAAATGTCATTTCGACGGCATAAAATTTCCAAAATTACCACTTCAAAGTAATGAGAGACTTAAATTGTAAATGGGCATTAGGGCCTGTAAACTCACATAGTTCGATCCTCGCATTCCAATTATAGCTTCGACGCCGGCCATCATGTCGTCACCACTCTATAAAATCAGAGTAGAATTTCGAAAACGGCAAATAAATCCCATTTCGGTATAGTTCGTTATAATAATTGGTATTTGGACGTTATAATGTTGTTGTGTACATCAAAACTATGTAGAGACGGCTAACAAGTACTGTGGGATACTATAAGTACACCTCGCTAAGTAGGATGTGATCCTAACGTGGAAAGACTTAAGGCCATATGTCGGAATAGGAGCAATCGGCATAGTGGTTGGAAAGCAAACTTCCTATCCTTCTTCTCCCGCACCTCAAACCAGCTCAGTCAAAGTGCCGGAGACTCCTGCAGTTCTCTTCATTTCCTTCTCCAAGAGCAACCTTTTGCCATTACATTACTTCAAGATGGCTCCTCCTTGAGCAGATCTCATCACTTCTCCTGTAGGGGATCCTCGTGATCGCTTTCTTTTAACTCCGTTGCTTTCCTCACCGGCGATTCTGCCCCTTTTCCCATACCGTCTGCTCTCGCATTTTCTGTAGGACAGGGATTGGCTATAGGAGCCCCTGAAAGTGCTCGTTTTTAACCAGCTCCATCCGCTTCCGCTGCAGTCCCATCCGAGCAATCCATTTCAACAGAATGTAATAGCCTTCTACGCTTCTTGCTTACTGGCCAGCGCGATCGCTACCGTAGAAGATCCTTGAGAATCACCACTGCCCGATAATCTCGACGTACTACAGCACCGTCGATGTCGCCCGATACCAGAGGACTCCATCCATCCCATCTCGACCGCAGTCATCCTAGCCTTCTTGCCTGGTCAAAGCTACCGTCACCGGCTGGGGCAATTCCGTGGAATCGGAGATCTTTACTTTCTCGACAGCTTCTCCAAAACAGTTGACAAAACAACACCTAGACAAGGTCTCAAGTTGAAGGAGGTACAAGATGTACGAAACACACTAAGCAAGCATTACAAATTTTGGAAATTCGAAATAAAAAAATTCAACAACCTTTGAAGGTCAGATTGGAGAACTCACATGGGTTAGCACTTGTTGTGTTACGGTTTTCTGTAGAGGTTCTTGCGTTTTCACCTTCAGTAAACGCACAAGCGGCTTGATCGTTGTTCCCTGAAGTGCTAGTGTTACTCTATAAGTAGAACATACACTGAGGATACGTATCGATATTTTTCGTTAGAGTCGAGTGAAGTTCAATATTGGCACCTCGACAGTTTTATTCAGGATCAGAAGAAGTCCAAATGCCTACTGATGCTAGACAATGGCACATTGGCCTATGTACAGCGCATTCATGCTCACACCCTTTCCGATTTTCAACTCAAACCAAAGAGCTTCTGAAGCCATTGCGCTAGCACGAATTGAAGTTTTAAAAGTATTATACCTCCTCTCCTAAGCAAAAATATCAGTCTTCTGTATGGAGTAGGTGAATCTGTCCGGAAGTGTTACCTTTGAAGGCACAGTTCACGATAAAAATGGCTTCTGAGTTTCCCCCAACCATGGATTTTAGGCCCCCGCGTATACCATGTCTGACACTGTTAGGTCGGAAAACGGCCTGGTTAGAGAGTTATAAAGGCTCAAAGATTGGCCCGTGTGTATCCCCGGACGAGTTTCACCGGCACTGTAGAGGCTGCACCTATCACAAGAGAACCCATGTAGGAGGTTCAAACAACTTGTCATGACCCATAGCGACAGTGAAAGGCAGTTCTGTACAGTTCTGGCTTGATGACTCAGCTCTTTGTGCAATTGCAATGACTGAAATCTCGTCCGAATACCCCTTCCGTGTTATTTCCGTCATGACAATCTCGTCCAACCTCTATTTTCCTTACTATTGAGAAGCCATAATTTTCTCGAAATCGGCGAATTCTCTCGCTTTGTTCACTGCCGATGAACTATTCCCAATCTATACTTAAGCTTTTCGAATAAAAAAGGGTACCTCAAAATTATCGTGGACTGTGTCTTTAAAGGTTCTAGTGATCATAGCCATGACGTCTGAAAGAGTTCCTCTCACCTCAAAGGGTCTTACCCAGACAGATGCGAGCAAAAAAGGGGAAAATATTTGTCAAAAGGGGAAGAGGAATATCTTGCGTACATACGCCGTTCTCTTAGATGCCAAGCTATCCAGACAATTCGAAGAACGAACTCGAAGGGAAACTGAGAAATCTCGTCCATCCTCTGATCTTATCAGGCTCAAAGTGTTCTTCGTTCTGCTGGATTTGGTGATTCGCTCCGCGCTCTACCACAGCAGTGGCAGCAGCAGCAGCAGCAGTACCTGACTTGTGGTGTAACTCGGTATCATACGGTCCAGAAGTCAAATGATAGGTAGGTCCTCAGATGCCCAACTAAGCCTTCAACCTTTCAGAGTCGTCTAACCATTACACGACTCGATTGCGAGCACCTACAAGCATCTGAATGGCAGCCCACTGCTGAGGCTAGTCCAAGGGGCCCATAGGTCCGCGACAAAGTCTTCGTCTTTTTTGACTAGCGCCTATATTTCGTTCCTATACGTACTAGTAACTATTCATCGAACTGCCTTTGAACCAGTTCCAGAATTTTTGGGACTGAATATACGAAAAGTCTTGAGAATTCAGCCTACTCCTTTGTGACTAATCAATGACTCAGACCTGTCATAAAAACATGGGGTAAATCATTCCATCATACTTATGGATGACGTCAATGACATCATTTTCCGAGCTATGCTTTCATACGCCCATATGCATGACATCATGCTAGTCCATAAAATAATTTGCCCAGACTACCATGAATAATTTGAATTTTTCAAAAAATAGAAATAAAAAAACCTGGAAGAATACGGTCACAACAATGACCACTACCGTAGTCGAAACCAACATATCCTTGGCTGGTATTGCATCCCTATCTGGAATGGGCAAATTATTTTCGAATCAAGCCTGGGTAAGGTGACTGGTACAAAAAAAAGGTCACAGACCTAATGTCATCACTAGACCGTAACAGATCGCTCCACGTAGACCGCCATAACCCATTATCACCTGATCCATCAAGCCAATTTTTTGAACTCTTTTTCCATTAGCGATCCACGTTAGAATCATCACACCTTAAGAGCCCTTTTTTTTGAAGATTCTTCCCCAAAATGTTTTTGTTACAGTTTTTACAATATAATTGTTGGCGATACGTAGGAGGAAAGTCACAGGAGAAATAAAATTCCAAAAACCTTCGATAAACTCAAGCTTATTAATTTAAGGAATCTGAAAACTGAAAAAACAAAATCCTACCGATAAACCTGCAAAAAATGCATGCTGTAACGGTAACCAGGGCGAACATCAAATCCCATGTGTGATTCTTTGAAAAAGTTGACAGGCCAAGGAAGACAAAAATGATCGCTTCACAACTGGAACATAATAAACAATTAATAAAAGCTCGAATGAAAAGCGTGCGAGCCAATCTTGTCCACCCTCCGTCTATACCATTATCACCTGGCAGTTGAAAGCGTGCTCAACACGTATAGGAGCCGATCATGACTGAACTCAATTTTTATACAATACACCAATACCAGTTAACTATAAAATATCAGTTAACCGGATCGATCACTAGCCGAAGGCCTTCCTTGGTTACACGTTTTGGGAATGGAATTCGATTACAAGGATGGTGCAGCCAAACACATCGCGCATGCACGGCGCGACCAGAAAAAATGATGAGTACGTAGAGGAGTGGTGGTGAAAAAGTTCGCTGACAGGAAATGGTCTGAGGGTATCATACGATAAGACTTCGGTCCAGTTACTGATAAAGAGGACGGAGGTAGTGTTGTGGCAAGTGGCGCACTACCACACAGGCCCTGTCACGGGTTCGAATCCCGGACAATTATATTCGATATCCACCTAGGCCTACCAAGCCTTCCATCCCTCCGGGATCGATTAAGTGGTACTAGACTCGTTCGGGAGGATGAAAGCACTGATCTGTACATCGGCTAGCCACCACAAGTCATTGTATAGACCACATACATACGTTCAATACGCTACTACGAATCTCAATGAAAGTCGAATGCTGGGCGCAACCACCAGACGGGACTGATCAGAGCCCAAGTCATAACCTTTTTTTCACTGACGAGTAACTCTTTTCCTCCACAAGATCAGGGTCGCTATTGCCTACGCCAAAGAGTCGAAGGTCAGACGGAAGCTGTAAAAAGGTAGGTAGGCGGATTCCATCCACTATGTGGAACCATATAGTAGCGCTTTGGATGTGTGATTGATAGAGAGCTATCATTGTTTCTAAGAGGAATCGACCTGGACCGATCTCACACCCGAAAGAAAATCAAGAAACTTACCACGAAGACAATGTCTTCAGGAAATATTTCACGGTCGTTAATGCTTTTTCATTCAAATTACCGGAAATGTATGGTTTCATCATGAGACCGCATGTGACAATCCTAAAGAAAGTTGACCATGACAGAGATATTGCGATGATAAACACATTCAAACATTCATAATCATCATTCATAGAAATCAACCCACGCAAGAATTCCTGACATATGAACACTTTCCGAAATCAGATATGACAAATACGGAAAAAACAGGCAAACCAGTGGTTGGAGAATCGGTACGTCATATGACCATCTGAAAGAGCAAACCGACTAATCCCTTAGCGAATTTCTACCATTAACGGAGAATTCCAATGTTTTTTTTTTCTGATTCGCTTAATTCGACGCTAACGTGTGTCCTGCATCAATTTTCTTTCAAATTCCGACCAAATTACTGCAAAATGGGTATTTGGTACCGGACTCTTAGTGAAGACAATACAGCTTTACAAATTATATTACATGCGAAGCTATGGAAATTCTAATTGCTGTCATACGGTGACCCACGTCTCTGATTGGTGGATGTAAGGAGGCCACCAATCACAGACGTTTCTAGCACCATACAAGTACCCTTGCAAAACTTTGTATTCAAAATAATGGCTTGTAAATGGGCAAAGCAAAAAAACGCATAGCGCTTCACCAATAAGGACAGCTGTAGGATGTCCAAATCAGCTTGCAAGTGAAAAATTTCAAAAAAAAAAAAACAATTAGAATACTATGGTCTGCTCATTGGAGAAAAGCTATCAAACACTTAGGTTTTCCAAGTTTGAAATCCAGAATTCAAACAAACTTTGTTGCGAATGCGGTCACACAGACCCAGACGAGCCCAATCAGTATGCCACCAGTAGATACCATAGCAAAATTAATAAATGCATGAACAAAATCTTCTCGAATCAAGTTTTCACTTCCGATTTTCGCCATGGACGAGAGTGAATGATATAGCACCTATTGAAAATTATGCTTAAAATAACTGTAACGATAACTTTGGCATAAATTGGGCTGCAATCACTAGTTAAGAAGGGTGGAGGTCGACAACGCAGTTTTCTTTCAAAAATTCTAAAGAACGAGATAAAATCGCCCACACCCCTTGTTGTTTCTCTTACATCTCTGAGCTTTTTCATGTATAGCTTCTCCGTTTGAAAGTATTCTCCACGTGAGGGAATTTGGCCACACCTAAGAAATTGGTATACCCAGCCCACGGAAAACTCCGATAACTGCTAAACGCATCTTCTATGCAAGAAGGGCCAAATACCATTGTGAAGGTTTCACCGAATGAATTCACCGCAAAAAATGGAGAAATCACTTGAATGTGTGGGGGATGAAGCCAAAAAGAAAAAATTATAAGTGAAATACAGTAACCGTACTCACGACTGTAACAGCGTCATTGAGCAGTGATTCACCGAAGACGCAAATGTATAGCAGTTGATTGACATGGATTTCCTCGAATACGGAAAGTACGGCGACCGGGTCGACAGCCGAAATCAGGGTCGCAAATAGTAGGATATCGATAAATGGCAGGGACCATTCATAGAGTGGTGCAAACGCGTAGATAACACCAGCTATAATCTGTTTACAAGTGGCGTCAGTTTCAAAGAAATACTAACTGACGGAACTACTTTTTAAAGGAGCCGCTAGTTGACAAAATGCATGAAAAATTCCAGCCAAGCAGCTATTTAATGAAGTATTTTTAGCTTCAGCTATAATGTTCTTTGCTGATGAGACCTGAGATTCCCATGTTACCTTACATGGTTCACCTCCTTTGCTTCTGGGCATATAGCTGCTACAAATAGCAGAGAACCGTGGTCAGATCTCTGCGGGAGACGGGCGGTAGGATCGCTTTTCTGTAATCGATTCGCCGCACGCGGCTGTCGCGGGCCATTCGCTTCGCCAATATTACAGCTCTAGCGTTCTTCGTAGAGCTTAGTCGATATCCGATTAATGTTTTGGCATGCGTTACTGTTAATTCTTTTGCTACTGTACTTCATACTTGCTGTTGCAGTCTGCTACATTCTTTCGCGCGCGGCACCTCTCTCGCCGCGAAGCGACCATTTCGATTCAAGTGCACCACACCCGCCGCCTACAATGTACTTTAAGAGTCAGGTAAAGGCGCTCCTAACGTTGAATGGAAACAGTAGCTGGAGTTCCTGTAGTTCTACAAATTGATAGTAATGTAATCCTTGGCGTTAAGATTGGATCAGTCAGTGGAAAGGTTTGTCCTCTGGGTAGGAGACCTTTACTGTGACTGTACCTCCCACATTAGTGAGCTCTTCCTTCTCAATGGTCCGGTTACTGTTAGAGAGTGCTCGATGGTCACACTGACTTCAATCTCATGCTCAANATTCTTTCGCGCGCGGCACCTCTCTCGCCGCGAAGCGACAATTTCGATTGAAGTGCACCACACCCGCCGCCTACAATGTACTTTAAGAGTCAGGTAAAGGCGCTCCTAACGTTGAATGGAAACAGTAGCTGGTTCCTGTAGTTCTACAAATTGATAGTAATGTAATCCTTGGCGTTAAGATTGGATCAGTCAGTGGAAAGGTTTGTCCTCCGGGTAGGAGACCTTTACTGTGACTGCCCCTCCCACATTAGTGAGCTCTTCCTTCTCAATGGTCCGGTTACTGTTAGAGAGTGCTCGATGGTCACACTGACTTCAATCTCATGCTCAATCTACCAATTGCTTTTGAATGCTTTCGAAAGAAACTGTAGCGTTATATCGCCAAACCAATCGATACCTATTTAAACTAATAGAGCGCGAACACGAGCATGAACTTAGGGCTCATAAAGAGCGATCATATACTTCCCAAAAAGATACTGTAAGTGAAAATCATACCAATTGTGATTATGTTGAATACAGTACCAACAACTGCATATAGTAGTATGGTTCCGAGATTTGTGAAAAATGCGTTATTTGGCAGAAAATAACCGGCATCAAGTGCAATAGGTGGTAATAGATAGAGAAAGAAAAGGTCTGAAAAAAAGCGATTTGCGACAAGTATAAACTAAATGGACCTCATCCAGTACAGTAAGTTAAGTGGTTTACGAAAAAATTGAAATGTTTGTGTTGGTGGCTCGTAAGGGAGCAGCGCAGCCATCGATTGGCGGTAGAGGGCTCAGCGTTCATGACCTACTTGGAAATCGATGAACGGCTTTCATTCTCTAGTCGCTAAGGGCTTTCAAAGGACCGTAGCACGAAGGAGGATTGATACATCGAGGATTTTTGCTTGTACAGTTGAGGAAATTCAAATATAATCCTCGATATTATGGATATTTCAAACGAAGGGACACTCTACCTGCTACTTTATTTCCATTTCTAGGCGGGATTTTCATCGTGGGATGCTTAGAAAGCTTAAAGGCACAGTTCACGATAGTTTTGATGTACCCATTTTAGGTAGAAATGTAAGTGTTGATGTAGAGGAGTACATCGGTGTCGAAGAAAGCGAGAAAATTCGCCTACTTTGAGGTTTTTTAAAAGCAGTGGAAGTGGACGTTGTACGAGATCACCGTAACGGTGATGGCATGTAAGGAGTGTTTGGACGAGATTAAACTTGCTCCCATTGCTCAAAGAAATAACAAAATCGAGCTGATATTGTCCGAAACTGCTTTTCGCTGCCGCCATGGGTCATGACAAGTTGTCTCCCTTGAGATAGTGCAGCCTTTACAAGGCCGTTGAAACTCGTCCACTATGGGTGTCGTCTTCACATGATACAATCTCTGGCCCCTTTTTGTGCCCTATCCATGACGTTTTCGACCTTATGTCGGCAGGTATGGTATAAGGGGTGCTTCGAGTTCATACTATAGGAATATCTCACAAAACATTTTTATCATGAACTGGGCCTTTAAGCATGCATATCTATTCGTCGACTTTGTCCTTCTTTTTGCCGGCAAAGGTTCTTTATTATGCCTTGCACGCGTAACCAGTTTATCGAGGCCCTGCCTTCAACAAAATGCATGGATGATTGTGAACGGGTGTTGTGGACATGGCTGATTCCACTACCTCACCTACACCTGCCTTACATGGCTTTCATGCTAGTAAATATTCCCTTGTTTCTGAAGCACGGCTGCCCGCGATTCTGAGGAAGTACTCGTAATGAGTTGTATAAAAAGTATGTAAAAGTATAACTTACAATTAGAAGAGGTAAGCTATATTGGCAATACCTTACTAGTGCTACTATTATACTTTACCTGGATGTAAGTAAATGTCCATGACCCATAATTTGTCAAGTATTAGACCGACAATTAGTCCAAGTACAATCAGTAGGGCGGATTCCGGAAAGATCTTGGCCAACACATTTGATCGATGGAATACTGTAACAAAAGTGAATGTACTGGTATAACAGATGAGGATTGCTATTTGAGATGTCATTATAAGCACGTTTACTGTACTGCTTTTTCCCTGTACTGGAAGTTTCACATATATCAAGTCCATAATACAAATTCCCCCACTCAGCGAATAACTTTTCCCCCTACTGGGTAACGATTCCCTGATGCAAAAGTGCCCGAACAGAGGCTAACCGGCTGTCTGTCATGGGAGACGGTAAAAACACGTTTTTATATAAGATAAGAATTCTCGCAACGGTCACATTTGTGATGCTAACTAACGATTAAACTTACGAAAACAGTCACCAGCTTAACATTTCATCAAAAATCAATAACAATTAAAGTAACTGGTAACTTATGGGCTCTGTCTTAACACAATCACTCCCGTATCGATGTGAAGACATGGAGATATTGATGTCTTGGAACGCTTATCCCATAATATGGGATGAGAATCGTTTTTTTCTCGGAATTTTTGACAAATGGTCTCTCCTTTATCCAACTAATCGATAATGTGAGATGTCTTCGGAAAATGTTGCCTTTTCGGGGATAGATACATCTGGTGGCGGTAAGGCCCGGTGATGGATGGCTGTCATCGTTCTATACCACACACGGCTATTGGGAAAGAAACAGGTGTATAGATAAGTGCAAAGAGAGAAATGTACGAAGCTACAATGAAAAACGGTTAACAAAACGTTGGCATTGCCTAAGTAAACCGTACTGGTAAACGGAAAACTCAAGCAAAAGCGAAAAATCGGTAGGGAACATAATAAATACATATGGAATTCCCTTGTTCAGCAATAAAATTACTTGAGTTTCAAACCCATTGCATGCCATCTTCACAGTGATCAAGCGCTATCAAAAAAGATAATTTTCAATGATAAAGAACGGTAAGAGACTTACAAATTCTGGCCATAATTATAAGGAATAACCAGGCAGAGATTAGTAGTGGTGTATTGACATCGTGCCATTGCAAAGCAGAAAACATTTCAGGAATCCTGCTTCAGTCACTTCTGATTACTATGGACAAGGTCTAAACATAGAAAAATTCAAAAATTTGGTTAAAAATGATCAAAAGGTAGAGTTTGGTATGAAAAAAAGGTAACTGTCGACCTTGTCCACTCCATTAGCCCCAGGACCGTTCCATTCAAGTGAAGCGAATTCGTTTCGTTTTTTTTTTTCAAGATAAAACCGGTTCAACGATAACGTAAGATGTGAAAAACGAGATCAAGGTTAAGGTTGAGATCGGATAATGCCAGAGCTTAGTGATACAATGATCTGCTACTAACTTGTTATCTTTTATACACAACAGTACAACATACAACATAGACAATGCGATTGGTGGTGATTTTGATCGACGACCGATCATTACGTCTCTTCTGATGGGCGTGGCGGGCGTTGTCTCAAACCCTGTGTGTGACGTTGGGAGAACTGCGAAAATTCACGAGTTATCTATGGAAGTGAGACTATTTGTGGACAAAAACCAATAGATAGGCGAGAAATTACGTTGATGAAGTGGGAGAAACCTGGGGATCCCGACTGGGAGTGAATTTTGAAATCCCCGGTGGAGAAGATACTGTTGAGGTCCTCTGACAGCAGCAGAACAGCAGCTATAACACTGAGGCAATTCACGTAGTCATTCGGCAACATATATGCATGCATTCAAAGGGAATCAATCATTTATTTAAAGTCTTTTCACCGAATGACAGAATGAAAGGGAAGATGGAAAAAGAAACGATAAAAATACTGTCGTCCACATTAATTTGGCTGAGGCATCAATTCGGGGAATCAGTTCGCTGCTTGAACTTAATGACTCACTGCCCCTAGCTGAACGGTTCAGGAAAATCTTTTTGAAAATTGTCCATCGTCCAACGAGGACTGACTCCTAGTTGAAATTTAGTAAGTATAAGGAAGAAGAATTCTTTACTATACAAAAGTTTGTCTAATTGTACTTGTGTTATTGGTTCGATTATTTCCCTTGTCATGATCGTCGTCAATTCGTACTAGTTAATAACTTTAATGCTCAAAAACATTTGTATTGAGTGATGTGCACCTTTAGTAGAATATTGGCCAACAACAATGGCAGCGAACCCGTAAAACATCTATACTTACCGCCTGAATGAATGAAACACTTTTTAAGTTTCCAAAGTTTTCTTTTCTAAGGTTTCATTGTTCACTATCTTACCGCATGATACCTCTTATTTTCTATTGGTTTGATCATTCGCTTTGGAACACTTCACAAGTACCAATATAATTAATTTTTACTCTATAGTCACTATGGCTAAAAGTATTTAAGGATAAGAGCACCTCTACGGATATAGTTAGCGAAGTAACAGCTTTGGAACCCTGAGTAATGGTGTAGGACATTGTTTTATCCATTCTACATATCCTTCTATATATTCTTTATATTATTATCTACATAGTAGTGTAATCACTAGTAAATAACCCCTCGTCTTTTGAGACATCACGGACATTTTGAAGTAGCCTTCAGAAGTAGATACCCTGTTACCCATAAACAGAACAATTCTTAATGGGAACTTTTTGGATAGGCAGATTTTTGCGGGTTTGGTGCGTTAGGAACGAAATGGTCGTGTCGCGGTGAGAGGGGTGTCGCGCGCGAAGGAATGTAGCAGGATGCACCAGTAGGTAAGAAATAGGAACAAAAGTACTAATAGTAGAATTATGTATAAAATAATGATCGTATATCGATTGAGCTGTATGAAGAACGCTAGAGCTGTAAAAACGGCGAATGAGCGGTCCGCAACGGCCGCGTGCGTCGAATCGATTACCCAAAATCGTTCCTAACGCCCGTCTCTCGTTTTTTGCCGGTGTCATATATAGTAATGAATTACTGTGTTTAGTTGCTGAGCTTATTTAAACCAAGAAAAACCTCTAAACTCTAAACCCCAACCATTTTCAATGATCTTAAGTGGTAGTAGAAGTTGGTAGGTATCAGAATGAATAGACGCAGTGCTGTCTCGAAAATCGGGACCCCGTCGTGGTGACCATTCAAGACAAAATTCAAATAAGCAGGGAGTTTACAATATTTCACCTACTAGACTTCCAGAAAATATCTTTTCTATGGATTTCCAGAGGGCTTCTAGGATATGCATCTCCGCTCTGTTGATGTCAAACCAAATGTGATAAAAAATATTCAAGCAAATCTGAGAGATTCACAAGTTGGAGAGCTTTTTAATCAAAAAACAATTAATTAAAGTTTTCTATCTCATAGCTACGCCTTTTGTCCAAAGAAATACTTCAACATCTATTAATAGCAACGTTTTCTCATCTTTCTTGAGTGGATGCTTTTCCCCCCTCAGTAATTCATCATAATCAACGAGATAAGGGCTCTTAACTAGACTAGGGCTTTCCAGTCGTCCACTGGAATTTGTTCAAGCCGATCTGCTGATGGATGGAACACACTTTCTTAAGACGAAAACCGCAGTGGGTAAACAGGCTGTTTTCAAGTGGAAAGTCAATAAAAACAAGTGCAGCATCGATAGTGGAGGCGTTACAATGGAATGACATCAGATGATGTCCAAGGCACAACGGCCTCTACTAGATCTTACTATTCGCTACGTGTTCTACTGACTTGGTTGGCGATATGTTTCACGTTATGGTTCGTTGCCTAATGAAATCATTACCACGTTACAACAAGTATTTTTTTACTTGTTACTTGTTACTTGATGACATCTCCGTTCAGCCTTCTTTTTTCTGTGATCGCGTTCGTATCATTGCTCAACAAAAACATTCTTCCCGAGGAACTTGGACCTCAAACTATCCCTTACACTAATGTGCCTCGCCATTATGATGTTCAACTACAGTTCAACACCGAATACAATCAATCGAATACGGTACGTTTTTCAACAAGTATAAACGCCGTCAAAGCGATTCAAGTCAACTGGAGAGCTTCATATTAACAGGACAAAAAAAACTGGACTTTTAACAAATAAGGCGTAAAGAAGTAATCACGGTCAAAAAAATCTGTTCTGATGTATACACAAGGAGTACGTTCCCATAATTCTACACAGCTTCATCGGGGAGTGGGTGTTCGCGGATTTCTCATTTGGGTTGAGGCCTGTATAACGTGACCACCGAGCAGATCACCCAAAATCCCAGATTTTCATCTGTAAAAGCAATTCTGGGGATGATTCTCATAGCTACAGCCACTTACCCCAGTTTCCGAACTGGTTCCCGCTTGCCTTACTTCCTCCAGACAATGGCTTTCATAATGCCGACCACATTGGATTTTTGACGTTGATACTTTCTAAAGGCCCAAAAGGTCCACTCAATAAATAAACTGATAAATCAACATTGACAATCAATCAACATAACATTATGTTAAAGTTACTTGAAACTGAAGTAGCCTAATTCGTGTATTGGAAGTTCAAAAGAGTTTTACGTGCGCTTCAATCCCTTCAGTTCGAGGGAAGGCCCAGTGGGATGACCTCTATGTTTAATTTTGAGCGGAGAAGTGTCATTACAGTGGAAATGTTCGAGACATCCTGGATCGAATCCTGACCAGTTCACCTGGCTCTACTATTACTCTGAAAACCATTAGTAAGCGTTGCCAGGTATAGATCCACAGATACTTGACAGTGGTACGAGACTCACTGTGTAGTACCCACTTCATACCAATCATTTGCAAGCCTCATGGCCGCGGTTCCACCTAGACCTTGAATATTTCATGTATTATCATATTATATTACGTTATATTACATTTATTATATTATATTATTATATTAGGTCGCATATATTGAATTATTACTGAACTCCACAACAATTTACTTCACTTTACTTTTATCCATTTCAGTCATTTCATGGGCAAGTTGCATTGCTCTTCAGTAGCCGTCATGTATCACAACGTCTTTTCATACACAGAGGCAAATACCTACGAATAACGGATTTCAGTTTGATAGCTGTCGATCAATCAAATGAAAAACGAAGTATCAAGAAGGGAACGTATAATGCTGCCGTGAGTGATAATCCGCTATATTGATCTTCTCGTTCACCCGAAAAATCGATATCGATGCTTTCAGTCTGAGATACAAACATTTGTTCTCTCTTTTGACACCGCAATCGATGAGCTGTATTTGTTTACAATGAAATTCACCGGAAAAATGACGGTTGAACATGGTCCGAAAGAATTCACTTACACCTCAAACAATGGCGAACAAAGGTGAGAAAAACCCTCCATAATAATATATTATATCTATTGAGCCCATGATTTTCTAATTTTAAAAAAATGGAAAGATGGTTTAGTGGCGGAAGGCGCTTCTCCCAGTTATCCTGCGTCGGTGGTTCGGCCTCGTTAAGCCATTCAAACGCCTCCGCGACCTCAAATTGAAGTTGAATGTATGGCGCATACCAGCCGTGACTAGATGAATAACTCCATAAAAAGTGCTTCTACGCGGTGATTCATACTCCCTACTCTAAGATGAAGAGTGGGAGGTGAAGTGGTTTTCAAAAAGCTTACAAAACTGGTTCCGACGATTGGTATCGGATCAGGTCCCCCATGCAGCGCGAATTTCCCACTTAACACTCGTAGCTAATACAGCATTTGTAGATTACTTAGCAGTATGATTACAGGTATGGCGTTTGGTTTGCTACACTTCAACGAAATAGCAAAGGCCTACGGTACTTATTCCCTTGTATGGATTCAAATGAATTCCCTGCTGAATACAACATTACTATTACTCGTAAAGTGTCTTTGCGAGCTCTTTCGAATTTCATCGCCAAACGAACATTACAAAGGTAAGATCCAGAAAAGATAATAGCGGAATGTCAGTTTGACAATATTTTCAGTGATGCAAACTTTATGATTGACTACTTCCCGCCCATAACAGTATTGTCTCCTTACCAGTTTGCTCTAGTGTTGTGCGATTTCCAATACAGGAGAGAAAACCACAACGGAACCACGGTGGGATTTCATTTCAATCATTGCTAGGATGTTTACCGAAGAAGAATGTGATTTTGTTCCACAACAATTAAAGCTGAAGAGGAGTGATCGACTTGCTAGGAATGCGCCGTGCATTCCGCACTCATCTGCCATTGTAGGAAAGGTTTAATCTGTATCAAATCTACACAGGCTGCTTTCATAGTCCGCCGGAGTGCCGGCGTGCCGCCGAGGTAGTGCTAGGGGGAGGAGGGAGGCGGACGCTCGGTCGACGCGGTCGCGTCGCGCCCAAGCCCCTTCGAAGGGCTGAAAACAAAGAAAAACAAGACGAAAAATCATTTGCACAAGCCCCTGGTTGTTTGGTTTTTGATCTTGTTTTTCTTTGTTTTCAGACCTTCAAGGGGGTTGAGCGCGACGCGACCGCCTCGACCGACCGTCTGCCTCCCTCCTCCCCCCT